GAGCCATATTATAACCTTCTTATGAATTTTTTTTGGAATTTATCCTACAAATAGGCTTTACAAAACTGTCTTAAAATTCAATACAGTCTTGATCTTCAGCTACTTTCCTCGAATGTTATGCAGATGTTTCTCTGACAGAATCTACATCATATAAATCAATATCCGACAAAGAATTATATGATAACAAATCTATTCATGTTACGTATAACTATAGGTGTACCATCTAAACAATATACAAGTAATATATTATTCGTGTTAGATCGTTCATCACAACAGTATTTCCCAAGGGGATATGTGTGTATATATAGACACACACACACATTTATATATATATATACATATACTATGTAATAATTTACCAACATACTTATATGATATTCATTCAGTAAATCGTTTTGATATCAGCACCACTAATAAATAATCTGAAACCAGAAATTACCCGCGATGATTCACGTGAGCAATCAACTACTCAAACAATTTGTAAACCTCATTTAAAATGACAATTTTTATGTAACTAGACCACCCGTGACCCATTGGATCACCCACTATTCAGAGGTTATGAAGAATTCAAGCTAATTTCAATATTGCACTAAAATGAAGGTTTATTTTGAGAAAATTTAATTAAATATTTCAATCCAATCGTGTTATTCATAATTCAAGAAAAGATATTTGATTGTTGATCGGGAGCAAAAGGAAAGACCATTTCATTTTTCAAAAAAGTGAAGTCAGAGTTTTCAGATATTGTGAAGAGTTAGTTCATTATGTTGTGGTCTTTCCTCTTAAACCTTCTACAAATAAGAAATAGTAACACTTTATTTTCTTCTTCGAATTACCTGGGGAGGTAATGAGTAATTGAATGTATGGGACAGAATATTGTTGGCCACGTGAGACGTGAGTTATAGCGTTTGTTATAGAGCGACTGTTGAAATTAAGTGCATCGTAAAGTTGTATTCGGAAAGAATAAACCAGTTTTATTTAAGAAAGGACTTGTGTCGCTAAAGTTTCGTCGGAACGAATTTACGGAAAATTAACTAACGAACGGAGATGTACCAAATGGACGCAAAGTACTGAATGTGAAATGTGTTTTGTTGTTGTATTTAGGACCAGATTTGCCCCTGTAAGACAGTTAATTAAAGGTTTTTTTGGACTTTGACATATATAACTTTCAAACTTACCTTTCTTTAGTTAAGCTCGCTAATCCGCATGGCTTTTGTAACTTTGATAAGTATTAATTTTGTTTACCGAAGCTTTTGGATTTGATATTAACTTTAAATTGGGAATTTCCATAAAAGCAGCTTGTGTTGATTTAAACTTGGAGAATTTTAGTTGTCTTTTTGGAATCCAAGCTTAACTTCTGTTTTATTTTCACTTTTTTCTAAGTTTAACTTTGGGTTTCACTTTATATTTTAGATAAAAGCTTTTAAATGAAGTCGTCATCTTGTTTTTATCATTTTGACATGAACTACTGAACAATTGCCCTTGTTTGGCTTTGTTTTGTAATTGTGTTTTTTGTGAATAAACATATTTCCTGTTCATTGCCAAATTATCTTCTATATTATCTTAGTTGTAGATCAGAAAAATCGTTACACTCCTTAATCCAATATTCTCCAAACCTCAAGTTAATAAGCCTAACTGACTGCTCCACCTGAAAACCCTTTTACTGGGAGTACCATAGAATAGTAAGGTAAAGGTAATTTTTGTGGGGTTATCAGAACAAGAATGTCGTTATTGTGGAGTACTATTGTTCTCTTTAAATGTATTTAGCAGCCATAATTGTGAATGCTCTAGAAAGTAATCTAATTGTTGTATATAGAAATAGCTCTCTCTCAATGTGACAAAGGGTGTACGACCTGGAGAGGGATGAATCTGGTGAGCAGGTCTGCAGGAAGGGTGGGAGAAATCCTCTCCTGGATTTCGGATTTTTAGCGATGATGCAAAGGCCCATGATGGCCATTATCCTATAGCCAAGAGCTCGGTATTGAGAGCAAGAGCTATATGGGACATCCAGAAAGCCTTTTGAAGTTGTCTACCTGAGGTTAAGCCCAGGCAGTACAGAAGCCCATATGATTGAGGATCGTCAAGGTGACTCAAGACCGAGAGTGTCTGAAATAGAATGAGGCAGTCTCTACAGGAACCTGGGGTACTCATTAACCAGGGAAACATAATTTCAACAAGGGAGAGACATAAGGTGCTGATGGTAGATGAGCAGATGAGCAAGCATCTCTGTGATAAGAAGTGGCCCATCAGTGAGCCAAGAGTCAGGGGTGTAACACTGTTAGCTGGCAAAAGCTGCCAGTGTGTGCTATATTTCTATGAAGTTAATTAAGCAGTTACTCCTTGTTGGTTAGTGAAAGCTACCAACATGAACTGTCCTGTCAAAAGGTGGGACAGCTACCCTCATTGGTTGACAAAATACGATTACGTGACTGAAATATATATATATATTTACTGGCTGGAATACTCGTCCCCTTAATGAAAGGTAATCTTAGAACCTGAAAAGCTGCTTCCCTTATATGTAATTGTAAAAAACGCCCATATAAACTGTAAAACACAAAATGTGAAACCGCAATTTTGCATGTATCTCCCCATGGACCCAATGAACATCCATACCAAATTTGGTGAAGATCCATCCACAGGAGGTGAGGAAGTGGTAAATAACGCCAATATAAACTGCAAAACGCAAAATGCAAAGCCGAAAATTTGTATGTATCTCTCCATGGACTTAATGAACCTCCAATTTTGGTGAAGATCCATCCATACCCTGCGAAGTAGTTACATGACATATAACAGACAGTACTATTATATTTGTATAGATTTAATAAAGCCTCCCAGTGGCACAGCGGCATGTTTCGATACCACTGGTGGGCAGAGCAGAGATAGCTCAATTATAAACAAACAAAAAAATTTGATAAATGCTGCAGTTCTATATATTGTTATAAAGTGTACAATTTTGTCTTGAATTAAGGTTTTAGCGGTTGTATAATGTATATCTATCTACATACTACTAAAACTCTGAGATTATTTGTGTGTGCTTGTCTGTAATTAAATACAGCAAAAATGGCGCACAATACCGCCATATTTGTAATGAAATGAGTATAGAAACAGAATAAAATAAGTTTGTTAAAATCGGGCCACGGGTTACCGAGTTAGCCACGTTTTTCGGGTCACTTTTAAGAAAATTTCTAGATGTATTTAGGTACACTAGATGGCGCCACACATCGGTTTATCTGTCAATCTATTCGTTTTCCCCTGATGAATCACTTCAAAATATCTTCTATACAATAATATATGCACAACAGAAATTAAATGATGAGATGAAAATGAGAACAACAACAAAATTTTATAAACGAAAACCTCACGCCGAGCATTGGCTATTATATTATTTCCCTGTCAATGTTCCCATCTTCATTAATAGGCGTAAGATGAGAAAAACAAGATCTTGAAGAATCTATCTATATACTACTAAAACTCTGAGATTGTTTGTTTGTTTGTTTGCTTATTTTCTCAGTCAAAAAATCATTCACACTACTGTTCGCAGTCTTTACGGAACTTCATTGGGCCACGGGTTACCGAGTTAGCGCCATTTTTCGGGTCACTTTTATGAAAATTTCTAGCATGAGTAATTTAACATCATATTACCGTTCGCGCTCTTTATGAAACTTCTTAGTTCAAATCTATTTTCCTGTCAATGTTCCCATCTTCATTAAAAGGCGTAAGATGACAAAAACAAGATCTTGAAGAATTTCTCAATAATGTGCCTTGTTATGGTGGCCACGAAGCGATGGGTCTTATAGATACAAGACTACACTATATCTAGAAGGATCACGAGATTTAAGGAAAGGACGTGAATGTTCGAGAACGTCGTGGCGTGATACTAGTCACGTGACCTCGATGTCGTAACACATTGATAGTTGAGCTGTGGCTGCTCCTAACCTTTATCGGATTCGTAAACAAAAAATAATAACTTTCTATTTCTGGACGTCATGTACTATCTTCTAAAATCAATTCATTGCCTTTTAGCGACCCCACGTCTTACATACTTTCAAAACCGGAAAAATGAAAGTGTTACTTGAGCGAATCTTTGCATTCAAACTGAGAACTCTGAAAAACAACATTAATTAAAGTAGTGGTTAACAGAATAAACGACAGACTACCATAATGTAATATATATATTTTTGGAAGAAAAACCTTTCATAAATACATTTTGTCACATGTCATGTCCACCAAATTCTCTCCATTACTTAGCAATCTGAGGGCTTATAACGCTAAAAATTGGATTTTGATACCCATGGTAGCCACAGCACAAATAGCCTATTGTGTAGCTTTGCTCTTAACAATAAAACACAAATGTCTCTCAATTAATTGAGTTCTTATCAAAAATTTAATCTATAATTATAATTATATAACTACTGCATCCATTTTGATTCATTACATTTTCAAATAACATTAAATTTTTTCAAGTTTTTAATGATGTCTAAAATATTTTGAGAAATAACAGTTGTTTTCTTCATAAGACTACACACACATTTTATAAATCTATATGAAATATTTCATAGGCTTTACTTCTGCTTATCATCTACGTGATTTAATTAATAATCCTGATACATGTTTACATCGTAAGAATTTTTAAGTTTTATACTCAGTCGAACAGAAAGGACGTCGATACTGAGTATGTGCGTGTTATGTTGTATATCGTAGTGTTACTTTTCAGTGGCGTAACATGCTATTAAATACACCAATAGCGATATCTTGTTATAATATATATATGTATGCTCAACGCGTTGTCGTGAAAGGAAAGTTTTTGAAAAACAAAACATGTGATTTAAAGAGTATTTCGGTTCATTAGGTATAAAACAAACGAAAATGGTGAAATGATTAAATTCATTCATAAATTCATTGAACGACTGTCACGATGGGTGTTGTTTTAATGTCATTTTTGTGCGAATTCTGCGGCGCAGCCGTACAACAGGATACTCACATAACCTTAAGGATTATTAGTGAATAATTCTCAATGGCAGTGGTAGCCATATTTAATGTTTGAAATGGCATTAGTATACTTGTTTTTTTAGTCATTGATTAAATTGTTTGGGGAGTATCTAGTAAAGGATAGGACTTTATTGGGAAATTTAAAACTTCTGATGTTCACCAGTGAGGTATACATTATGTTTTTGTCCTTCGCTAGTGAATTAAGTTACTGAACATTTCTTTTTCTCGATATTTTGTTAGGCTTAACATTTAAAAGTCTCAGTTTGCTAAGCCTAAAAATCTATAAAAAAAGTTCACCACTTTGTCAGTGTCACTTGTTTAGTTATTACGTTGTTTTGTTTTCTAAAAGATTGTATCAATTTGAAGTAAATTAGGTGTTTGGTGATGATAATTTCTTTATATTTGGCGAATTCCTGTTGGTGGTCACAAAGACATCCTACACACACAAACACATATACTTCGTAATAATAATATATATATATATATTGTTCGTCAATTAAAACTAATTTACGTAAGCCTCGCTGTCGTCATCTGGTTTTTAGACTTAAGCAGTTACGGTATGAGAAAGTGAATCGTGAAGATTTATTTATTCACTTTAAAGTCTGTGTTAACTTATACAGCTAATTTATTATGTTGCAATTAGCACAGTGTTATTATTATTATTAAATAACTTAAAACTGAAATTAAACTTATGATTTGAGATATATATCTTGATTTTTCTGTGTTTTATTTGTATGAGTTCAAGACTTGAATCATAGTGTTGAATATGTATAGTGCAAGTTTTTAGTCCAATATTTTTCTTTAGATTTGCAATATAATTTCATTCCTTTTTGATAAGGTTTAATTTGTGATAATTCATTTAAGTTTTAAGAGAATTAAAGGCTTAAAGTTTAAGAACCTCTGGTAAGGAATGACCTTTTGTTGGGAAAAATAATAAGGACCTGTTAGTTTATTTCTTTTAGTATTCCAACACTGTGTTTTTAGGTAAATCTGGTTATTTGTCTAAATCAGTGATCATATGCTTCAACTTTTAACCAGTGATGGTTTAGTTGAGCAGTTAAAAGTTTACATATTTACAAATGTATGTATAATATGATCGGATCAACTTGCATATACATTTCAAATGCACTTGAAGTTTTGCATTTATTTCACTTTGATCTTTTTTGTATTTGGTGAGAATATGAGATGCTCAAGTGATGTAAATAATTATTGAAGTATTGTAAATATGTGTTACAAATACATATCTGTTTAAGCTTGTTAGTGAATTGGAAAACCTCTACCATTGAAAATGAAATATTGCTTGAAAATATTAGGCTACAAAAAATCTTTATAGTTTATGGTAAATTTAGATTTAAGGTAGCCCACAAACATTTTATATAGTTTTACTAAGTATTGGATTATCTACCAAATCAGCAAATTGTCTTCTGATTTCTATGCGAGATAAATCTGTAGGTTTACATATAGAGAACCAAGCTCATGCTGGGAGTTTTTTGTCATAATTTGACTAATTTTCAATGAAAATAGCCAACTTGTTTGTTTTATTAGCCAAACAAAAAGAAAACTCATTCTATTTAAGTAAGAATATATATAACATAGTTAAAACTGTAATTTCTTTACATTTGTTTAAGTTTTTGTGAGAGCTGAAAAACTCAAATATTGCGTTCTTGAAAATCCCTATTAGTAAGTGTAACAACCATAACATCTGACTTTCAAACAAGAAACACCAAGAAGCTTTTTAACCAACCTTGTATATTATGTTATTAATACATGAAATATACAATAATCATATTATTGTATTTAGTATTCTACTGCAAGTCTTTCCAGTCAGTTCACTCTACAAAATTTTGTCTGTCACCATTATATGAATGATTTGTCAAAGTATTAATAATATGTTTAGAAGATAACCTGTTCCTGAGGGTGGTTTGTGTGGTTCAGTTCACCTCATTGAATCCATTTTCACAGTCAGCTCTTCACATTGAAATAGACAAGAAATACTCATACAGAGACACCATCAAGAGGTAAAAATCCACCATACTGTTTTCGTATATGAAAGAAACAATCTTTTATTTAAAGAAAATTTAAGGCAGGATTTTATGCACCAAATGCTGAGAATGTATCTGAATAATTTTCATTCTGACATGATCTGTTCATAGTTACTCATTTCTGGGTTTCCTTGAAAATGTTCAGCAATTTTCAAGATCTTGTTATTTCCAAAGTGTTAAAATTGTCAACATTTACTTGAGGAAGCTTATCCAATTCCAATAGGAAGTGAATATCTCAAGTTTTCCAAGTTTGCTAAATCATTGAGGTTGAAAAAAAGGTTAACAATGAAGATATCCTTTATTTTTCAACACCTCACATTTTTACTCTGATGAAATGTCCTTCATGATAAAGCCAATCAGTTACCACCTTTGGTACTACATCTACAACTGACATATAAATAGTATCTTCTTTTGTTTTTGAGAGATTATTTTCTTTAACACAATGATTTATGAAATAAAACTTCAAGAAACTTAAAGGGTCAAAACAACTTCAGCAGTCCCCGAGAAACTGCAAGCTATCTTGGTAGGACTGATACTGGAACTTTCCAGTTGAGTACAATTGCATTTAAAATAAGAGTGAAATTATAACCATCTGCTGGAAGAGGCTTGTATATACTTGTTCTCTATAGTATGAAGACTTCTAGTAATTAGATCTTTTTTCTTTTCTCAAAATATTCTTAGATTTAATTTAATATTTTTTTAATCTTAAGGTAGGAAAATAGAATCAACAGTTTGACTGTTTGTCAGAGCAAAATGGTAAGCAATACTGTGAATTGAAATGGATTTATGTCATGAAACAGAGCTGTAATTTTTCCTTGCACCCACCATTATAATTGATTCATTAGTTTCAATACATTAAATTTTTGAAATGTCAAACTGTATGAGTTTCAAGGCTTGAATCACAGAGTTGAATGTATCAAGTGATGAGCAATATGGTGGCTTCACAAGCTGTGTATGCAAAACACCTTTAAATACATCCTTCACATACACTCTGACACTGTTACTAACACATTTGTACTTCCAGCAATGCCTTGTATATATTTGGAATACCACTTGCAGTTATTGGTTTGATCCATAATGTGTTGTTTTAGTACACGTGCTTTAACCATCTATATGCACACTTTCATAATGCTGGTAAGATATTTGAGGATCCACAATAAGGTTTTTCAAGAAATCTACACACCCAACTTTTAGTTATTGGAACTTTCTATAATGTGAAATGACTATATACTTCTTACTAGCTGACATATCAATTCGATGCAGTGGGAAGATATGGGGGCCTTCCCAGGGGGTAACACAAAAGTCAGCTCTGAATGCTGACCTCCCTCCCATGACATTCCACTGGGGATCTTTAGGATACATGCCTGGTTTTGTGATGACAGTCTAGCAGCTCACCATTGAATACACAAACAGACTTTTGTCAAATAATGGTTTAAATAAATGTCGTGAGTCAGTAAATATAAAACTACAAACTTATAAGTACTTTTTTTTAACTGTCTGTGAGTATATTAATGTATCTATTATCCATGCAAGCATCTCTGTATATTATTACATATGACTTTCATAAAACAAAGTTTTATAATGGAAGTGAAACTAGACCTAACATTTATAAGTTAATCAAAGTTATGTCTGTTCTTTAGTTAATGTTACATTTGTAAGTGATTTTTTAGTAAGCTAAATATTAATCTGTCACATTTAAATATGTTTTCTAAGTTTAGTTAGTAAAAAAATATGTTCACAGTATTCTTAATAAAACTATAGTGTGTTTCATCAGACATGACATAGTATTAGTTTAGATGCAAATAAGTTGACAGGCTTCTAAAAAGTATGTATATATTGATTTCTGTAAAACAAAATTCAATTGTTTATGCATAACTAACTTTTTTGTAGATTTTCTTTAGCTTGATGGTAGACAATATTCAGTGCGTCTTTTACTGCCTTTTTAGCTTTATTAATTGCTTTTTTCTACTTCTGTGATGCTGTGATGTAGCTGTCATTGATCTGTTTATATAATGTGACCATCTTTGGCATTAATGTTCCTTTAGACATGGAGTTTTAGCTTTATGTTACCACATTCTCTGTTATATGGTTTGCACCTTTAGAATCAACCCAAAGCCTCTTGTATTTGGATGTCCAGTTTTTGATAAACTTCTTATTCAGTCCTATAGTTTCTATCCTTATACATTCATCTTCTGGATTAATTTGGTTTCTTTCCTTTTCTCATGTTTGTGTCTTGAAAAATCAAACTTTCATTTAACTTGAAGCCTTTAACTTATCCAGGATATTTGCTACAGATGTATCTAAACTTGAATAACAAGGTTTCATGATAAGTAATTATGTATGTTAGCAGTAAACCTTCGTGTTCTTTATAGCCCGTTCTGGTGGAGAAGGTGCAATGGGTTCTGGAAAACTTGCACCTTGTTTATTAATTGTAATATTGAACCAGTTTTAACCAGTAATCATTTTCTGAGACACGTGTCTCAATTTGATGAAATTACTAATCGATATTGTCACAAGATTTTGAAGTTTAGTTTTTTTGCATAAACACTGGGGAGAACCATGACTTTGGGAAGTGGTTATGATACTTGTTAGTGATATCCAATAGAAAGTGAAAATTCACTATTAAATGTGTTAGATTAGAGAACTGGTTTGGTAGAGAATGTATATAATTAGAGTAATTCCTGTAACAAAACACAAAACTTTGTTTTTCAAAAAAGTATTAGGCATGTACCAATTCTAAAATAGCTAATTAAGATTTCACTGCCTAACTTTACAACAATTTTAAAATTTATTGTTGAGTGTATATAATCAGGTTGTCATTTCTTAACAGACAGACTACATATTTGAGTGCAGTTTTTGCACAGCATTGCTTGAAGTAATATTTGACATACAGACTGATTGGATTTTATACAGTTATTACAGATATGTGTAAATGAAATGAATTTTCATTAAATTGTATATTAAGATTCTCTAAATGAATAAATTAAACAGCACTTATGCATATGTATAGCATTACAAATTTAAAGAAATACAATGTTAAATAGTTATTAAAAACAGGACAACTAGTTAATGTTGTATTACTTTTAGTTTTTTGTGTGGTTCTATAAATATTTATTTTATTATGGTATTTTTTAGAACAACTTGCATGGTAAGTTTTGTCTCAACTTATTGACTATATTAAGACTTTATCTTTGCTAATATTACATGTTTGATCTAATATGTTTTTAGATTTTTTGGAATAATGTGAATGTAGATAATTAATTAGGTATTAAATTGTATATTAGGATTCTCTAAATAAATAAATTTAACAGCATTATAACAGTATAGCAGTATAGCATTATAAATGTAAAGTAATATAACATATTAAATAGTAAATATGATCTATTAAAAACTGGGCAACTATTTAACATTGTATTACTTTTAGTTTTTAATATGATTCTCAGATATGTATATTACAGTGTTTATGTAGAACAACTTGCTTAGTAACTATTTTGATGTTTGATCTAATGTATTTTTAGTGGAATAATGCAAATCGAGATAATTAATCAGCTATGGAGTTTGTATTAACAATATGTTGAATTTTTCTTTTTGAGGTTTAAATTGAATTATGAAGAACTGGAAATGAGAAAGTAGACCTTCCATGTGCAGAATGTTTGAAGGGAAACATATTCACTTTTCACCAGCAGATAATAAGCCTCTCTGTTCATACAGTGCAAAGCTTTGCAAACAGCGGCGTTTGAATGGATATGCTTTTTGTATTCGACACATTTTGGAAGACAAGACTGCACCTTTTAAACAGTGTGCTCATGTGGCAAAATATAACAATCAGAAGTGCACCAATCCTATTCCATCAAATGAAAATCGAGAGTAAGTACCAGTTTGGTAGCAGTTTAATGTATACTCCGTTTTTACATATTTACTTGGATAGATGGTGATCAAACTAATAGGAAGGGATTATTGTAGTAAAAAAAAAGAAAAAAAAGACAATGTAACTAAAGTGAAATTCTTTGAAATTGTGAATTATTTAGCCATTGCTGTACATTACATGCTGAATGTATTAACCTGCTTTTAGCAGTAAGAGCCTCAGCACTTTTAGCAACTTGCTACACACGCATACACACACACCAGAGAGATTTAAAACTATATCTGTTCTCAAACTGGTCTATTTATGTGTTTTACACTCACCAAAAAGAAACCTATCATTCTATAGGTATTTGAAGAACTTGTACCAATCTGCCACAATTTAATTCTTCGTATTGTTAGCTGACACTGGGCAGTTTGTCTGGCTCACAGACACACACCCCAATGAAAGAATAGACCA